GGTTTATCCAAAAAGTGTATTGTGTTATATTCATATGGAAGAATGTTACTCAGCACTAACAAGAAACTGACGAGTACAACAGAAATGAGCCACAAAAGCTTTGTGCTGAGGCAAAGATGTGAACCCAAAGAGCATATTCTGTATGATTGTGCATGATTCCATTTTGTCTGTTTTCAAACAGACAGCATCAGACAGGAGGAAGTAGGTGGTGTGATTGACTGGGAAGGGGTATGGAGACCCTTGGGGTAAAGGTGATGTTTTGCACATCAATTTACATTTATGGTGTATGTACATATCAATACTCACTGAGCTCCATGCTTTAAATGACTGCATTACATTGTATTGAAATTATGCCTTAAAGAAATCGATTTAAGGGCCTCCCCGGTGGCGCAGCGGTTGAGCGCTGGGTTGCGAAGCTGCCCGCGACCTCTGCGGCGCCTGTTCGATCCCCGGCTGCTCCCCGGCCACCAGAGGAGGGTCCCACATGGCACGCAGACCTCTCCTGCCGCCCGCTGCTCCCCTCAGCGGTGTGCTTCGGTCCTTCTGCCTGCTCTGCTCCCCGCTCTGGCTCTGGTGAATTCTCTCACCCTCCCGCGCTTCTGACTGTACCCAGGGCATGTATAAACAAAACAAACAAACAAACAAATAGATAAATAAAAGCATGCCTCTATAAAAAAAAAATAAAAATAAAAAAAAAATCGATTTAAGTAATATCTTGATACCCGCTTCATACTAGAGGCCAATTAAATGAAAAGCTCCTGGGTAGTAATTCTAGCATGAGGCTAGGCTGAGGCCAGTGTTCTGCTATGGGTTTGTGTGCTGTTTGTCTCTCTGCATCCCTCTGTCGATCTTGGTGTATACCACAAGAGGCCAACCACAGCAAATGGTAGCCAATTCAAAAACCAAAATCAAAAAAAGTCTGAACCTGGTGCAAAAACACTTAAATCAAAATTTCTGGGAGTGGGATCCAGGCATCCAGAGCTTCCAAAGCCTCCCCAGGTGCCTGCCATGCAGATGTGGCCAAGAACCCTGGCTACATGTTAAAATCATCTGGGAGATTTTTAAAATCCTGATGCTTGGCCAGACCTTCCATTAAATATACTTCTGTATTTCAAGGAGCAAGGCCTTTCCCAGCACAAGGAGAGTGCTCCTCCCAGACTAAACCAGAGCCCCTCAGGGAGAATCCACCCAGGTATGTCCCAGGGCATATGTCAAAGGCCTAACAGTTCAGCTGGTGATTCTACCTGGAGCTCAGCACCTCACCTGCCAGCCTTGCTGCTGGCACACATGACCACTTCACCACTGTGTCGTTACTTCTTAAACAATGGTTCTTTTCTTTGGTAGCACATTGGAATTATTTGGAGAGCTTTTCAAATCACCATTGCCTCATTTCCACCCCAGGGATTCCCATTTAATTGGCTCAGGAGTGGGACTTGAGCATCAGAATTTAAGAAATCCCCCAGATGATTTTAACTTGTAGCCAGGTTTCTAGGCCACATCTGCACAGCAGGCATCTGCGGAGGCTTTGGAAGCTCTGGATACCTGGATCCCACTCCTAGAAATTCTGATCGAAGTGTTTTTGCACCAGGTTCAGACATGTTTTGGTTTTGGTTTTTGAAGCTCTTCAACTGATTCTAATGCACTGCCAGGACCCAAAATCACTGGCTGCAGCATCAAAAAGACAAAAGGCAGTTTTGCTGAGAATCTGGAAAGTCACTCATACCCATGGCAAAAGTAAAAAATTGCCACAACCTTTTGGAAAATCATTTGTTTAGTATCTATTAAAGTTTAAAATATGTATACCCTCTAACCTAGTCATTTCTAAGAAATCTCACCTATAGAATTTAATAGCACAATTTCATAGAAGTATGGTTTTAAGATCCCACATGAGTGGCCTGGTAACATAAGCTCTAATTCTATACTGTGGTATATTATTCAGCCTCTGAAAAGACTGTGGTGAGTTCAAAATAAAAACAGTACAAGCAATAATAAAATTGAAGAAAAAAAATGAAAGATTGAGGTAGAGTTGTGCACCTATAAGGAAGGATGAACCGGGTAAGCCATTTGCAAACGAAAGCCGATTGAGGCTAATATAGAAGACACTGGGCCATGTTGCATTAAAAACAAGTTTGTGCAGAGAGACATATGTCTCCACAGAGATTTGTTTATCATCAGAGGGCCATAGCTGTTAGTAGGTGAGACTCCTAACAGTACCTGTCTCTGGGGAGTCAGATTGATTGGAGAAAGGAAAATGCTTGCTTCTTGCTTTATACATTTGCACTGGTGGAATTCCGAGATTTTTCTTTTTTGTATATTCAGTATTTCAAATCTTTAAATTTTTAAAATTGCAAACTTTAAAAAGCACCTTCAACCTGGCCATGACAAGCCAACTTTCTTTCTGTGGCCTGTGTTAGCCAGAGATGTATGGCTGCCTGCCCCGCACCAAAGGATTCCCTGACCCTGAGGTGGGAACCAGCTTTACAAACTCTTTCCTCCTAGGCCCTCCCTGGTGGTGCAAGGGATTAGGATGCAACCTATGAAGCTATCTGGCTGCAGCCCGAGTTCAATCCCCCACCAGGGAGGAGACCCACATGGCAAAGCAGACCTCACCTAACTCGCCCGCTGCTCCTCTCAGCAGTTTATTTCAGTCAATCTGCCTATTCTGTTCCCCACTCTGTCTCTGGGGAGGCCTCTCACCCCCTCCACACGCACACCTCTGACCTGTACCCCAGTTCTTGTATGCATAAATAAAAAAAAAAAAAAAAAAAAAACAAGTCTCACCTCCCTTTTTATTTTCTTTCCTTGTCAGTGTTCCTCCCTCTTGTATGGTTGACACCTTACAAAGCTTTCCTTATGGGAAGCAATCTTGTGACCCCTGCTAACAATCTTCTGACCTCCTTTTGTTTCTCAGAAAAGGGGAGGGGCAAGAGCTTGAAGAATTGCTGTTCACAGCCCATTCAGACTCTGGTCCTGGGAATAGTTTGGCTCTACTCTCTCCATTACTCGTTTGCTTTACCTGGGCATAAGTGCTTTACAGCCTCCTTGGAATCTGTGAAGCTGGGCCCATCATCCTCCTTATTAATTACAGAAGCAGATTGGGAGGTCAAGCAGCCTTCCATTGTGAGACAGGGTTATTGGCAGAAATGAGGACTTAGCCCTGCTGCCCCTGTGATCAATCCTGTCTCGTCTTGTTTTCCCTGGGGATGCTCATTTTGGCCTTTTCAGGAGGAATGAGAGCTAAAGGGCTGACAAAAGGAGGCACAAGCTCTAAATTCCTCAGGAACCAATCACGTGACCTAACTGATGCAACACATGCCGTACTCCCAGCTGGGGTGCTGGGGTTAGTGGTGAAGGGAGGACCCAATGTGGCCAGATCTTCTGAATGATCTAGAGGAACCAGAAATCAGGATTTTAATATACAAATCTCCTGTTTTTACATACCAGTAATCTATTTAAAATTAAATAATTCTTTGAGCTAAGTTAAACCTGCAGATGCAGGCTGAATTTAACAGTAGCCATCGTGGCAAAACTTCTAGTGAGCCAGTGACCTCAACACCCTCCCACTGACCTGGAAATGACTGTGGAGTGGACAGTCAATGACATCGATTTTGTGACATTGGTTTGACTTCTTCCTTCTCTGATCAGTTGTCAGCTGTCCTTTTTTTTGTGTGTGTGTCTGTTTTTTGGGTTTGGCCTTTTTTCCCAAATTATTGTGTGCATTTATTGTACACACATATATATATATATTTTTTTTTTTTTTGCATAGAAGAACTGGCACATAGACCAGAGGTATGGGGGCTGAGGGGTGAGAGGATTCACCAGGGACAGAGTGGAGAACTGAATGGATTTACTGAAATACATTGCTGAGGGGAGCAGTGGGCAAGATAGGAGAGGTCTGCTGCATCATGTGAATTAGCTCCCTGGCGGGGATCAAACTCAGGCAGTAGAGTGATAGTGCTGAGACTTAATCCCTAGGCCACCAGGAAGGACCTAAATTTTTATGTGTACATAAAAATTATGTACACATAATTTTAAAAGATTAAAAGTGAAAAAAAAGTATCCTGCCACCAAGAGATATCTGCTGCTGATACTTTGCTGTTTCCTCCACACCTCTTTGAGAATACACATTTTGATTTTGATCCATATAAAATTATTTATGCAGTTTTACATCTTGTATTTTCTATTTTTTTAATCATAAACATCTTTCTAATCATTTTTCTTCAAGGCATTGTTTTCAATGTCCATATTAGCATGTTGTATAACAGCAGAATTATTTGTTCCGCTACTTTCTGTGTGGCCTTCAGCAAGTTACTTAACCTCTCTGTGTCTCAGTTTTCTCTTTTATAGAAAGGGTTTAACAATAGAATCTCCTTTGTGGAGTTAGTGTAAGAACTGAAGGAGTAAACAGCCATAAAGTACGTAGTGCTTGGTATAGAACAGACATTATAGAAATGCTTGCTCTTCGCTTTCATTATTATCATGGTTTGTGCAAATGCATCATTGTCTGAATTTATAATTATTTTTATGCCATATTACTGTACGGGAATTATTGGTCAAGGATATTAAGATTTAAGGCTCTCAATTTGCACAGTCAGATAGCCCCCTAGTAAGGTTGTCTAACTTATATTTTTTAGCAAGCAATGGAATGCCTCTTTCTTCATACCCTCCAAAATATCAGTTATTTTACTTTATTTACCAAAACGGATAACCTTGAGCCTCTCTTTCTAGATTGGAGCTCATAATTGGGCCTTCTCCTGCCCATGCTAATACACACTGATACATTGATTTGGGGTTTAAGAGTAGATCCTTGCCTATTTTGTGTTTGTTTGCTTTAATCCACATGGGGAGTCTCTCTTTTAATAAGTAAATTTAACCCATTCCTACTTATTGTGGTTTACTGCTTATTGTGTATTTTGGTTTTGGGTTAGTGCGTTCCACAGGCCTCAGACCAAATGGATACATGTGACATGCTTACCGAGGAACTCTGCGGTCTGTTGCAGAAACCACCCAGATCGAGGACCCCCGGGTTCAATGGCGGCGGGAGCAGGAGCACATGCTGAAGGACTACCTGGTGGTGGCCCAGGAGGCCCTGAGTGCACAAAAGGAGATCTACCAGGTGAAGCAGCAGCGCCTGGAGCTGGCCCAGCAGGAGTACCAGCAGCTGCATGCCGTCTGGGAGCACAAACTGGGCTCCCAGGTCAGCTGTGAGTACCTCCCACCTCCAGCACCCCCACAGCACAGTGGCCTGGAGGAGTAGGGGCCACTCTTGAGTCCTGCCTCTCAGTGCTTCTCAAAATGCCCCCTTTCCTCCAGCTCCACTCACTGCTTGTGCAAACCTCCATCCTCTCTACTGCTCTTCCTGCTCCTCATGCTTTGTGGTGGCTCATGTGCTATTCCCTTCCCTTGCATTAATCTGTATTTTTTTTTTTTTTTTTTTTTTTTTTTATAGAGGCATGTTTTATTTCTTTCTTTCTTTGTTTGCTTGTTTTTTGTTTATACATGCACTGGGTACAGTCAGAAGCGCGGGAGGGTGAGAGAATTCACCAGAGCCAGATTGGGAAGCAGAACAGGCAGAAGGACCGAAGTACACTGCAGAGGGGAGCAGCGGGCGGCAGGAGAGGTCTGCGCGCCATGTGGGACCCTCCGCTGGTGGCCGGGGAGCAGCCGGGGATCGAACCGGCGCCGCAGAGGCTGCGGGCAGCTTCGCAACCCAGCGCTCAACCGCTGCGCCACCGGGGAGGCCGCATTAATCTGTATTAATCTGTACTTTTCTCAGAATGCCAGTTGGGTTACATAGCTTCTTGTTGAAAACCCTCCAGGGGCTGGAGAAGTCAGGGGTTGGGGAGCTCGTATTGAATGGGTATGGAGTTTCAGGTTGGGGGCATGGAACTTCTGGAGATGGGTGGTGGTGATGGCTGCACACGTGTGCCTAGCACCCCTGAACTCTACACTGACAAATGATTGAAATGGTACATGTTATGTGCTGTGTGTTTTATCACAGTTAAAACCTTCTATGTCTCTTCCCATGGTCTACACAAGGATGCCTTTGAGCCACTCTTTCTATGTCTTTTCCCATGATCCCAGGCCTCTGCCTCATTTCATGCTCTCATTTATTTGGCTCTAGATGCACCGAATCCCCAACCCCAATGCTGCTCCCCAGCTTGCCCTGCACCACTCCACCTCAGGGCTCCTATACTTGCTGCTCCCCTGCCTTTCAAGCTGTATGCACAGCTGGCTCTTCTCATCTTTCCAGGCTGGTCCTTCAGGTACTCTCCTGGAATGTTCACTTCTGAGAATTTCTTCAGCAGATACCCTTCCCTATTTGTTGCATCTCTGTAACAATGCTCAGGTTATTTCACATGGATCACAAATCACCTGCCTATGTGTCTGTCCTATGTCCTCCCTTCCAACATAAACTAGATTGGTAAGGACTCCTTTCTACCTTGTGCACCCTGGTATCTGCCAGGAGAGCAGGCACCCACGGTCCCCAGTCCTTCATTCCTAGTGCCATGCTGGACAGGAGTCATCAGGGAGCCCACTGACCTTTTCCAATATGTTGGGATTTTTAATCTTCTACCATTGTTTCTAATAATCCATCCTTTCCCATGGTTATTGAGTGCTTACTATATGCTGAACACTCACTATGCTGTGCCAGTTAATCCTTTTATTATCTAGTTAACAACTCTATGCGCAAGTTACAATTAATGTTCCCTTTTAATGGGTAAGGAAACTGAGGCTTAGAGGGGATGGGTAACATAACCAGGGTTTTTCAGCTAGTGAGAGGCAACAATGAGTTGCAGACCCATTCTGTCTGTCCCCCCAACATTTTCAGTGGGATACAAGGAACCAGCATTAGGGACTTGGTGTCAGGGTGGGTCAGGATGACCCTCCTGTGTGCAACCTCCGCTTTGAGAGGTTCCATCTACCGGAACAAACTTTTGAGGCATCTCACTGTTCCAGCCCTGCCCTTTCCCTTAGCAACTAAACAAACAAACAAACAAAAAAACACCCCAGATTCTCAGATTATAGAAAAGAACTGTATTACACTTATTAGCTCTTTCTGAGTCAAATAATATCCTGGAGACTGACATTTAAACTGTCTTGTTTTAGCTCAAGCTGCCATCACAAAATATCAGGCTAGGAGGCTGCAACAATAGAAATATATTTTCTCACAGTTCTGGAGCCTGGAAGGCCAAGATCAGGATGCCAGTATAGTAGGGTTCTGATGAGAATCTTCTTGAAGGTACCATCGCACTGTGTCCACTTGGCGGAGAGACTCAGAGAGAGATAGAGTACTGCCTGATGTTTCTTCCTATAAAGGCACTAATTCCATCCTGGGTGTCCTATCTCCGTGGTTTTATCTAACCTAATTTCCTCCCAAAGGCCACATCTCCAAATATCATCATCTTGAGGCTAAAACTTCAACATAATAACTTGGGAATGGGCTGGGGAGGGAACACAGTTCAGTCTCTAGCATTTTCCTTGCCACAGCCCTGGTAGGGTGCTACTGTCATCCTTAGTGGAACAAGTCTGAATAGGTGGAGTGATTATTTTTTTCTCTCTAAAGTCCTGCTGCCCGAAAAGGTGTCTAGTTTATTAAGAACAAACCTTGGGGATCAGGATACTTACATGTACCCAAAGTATCATTCCACAAATCATTTACTAATTTCAAAGGCTAAGATACATTTTTCACATGGGATAGAGCTACGGCTAAATTAACATCACCAAGAGTGAGATGAGCTGATATCTGTTGATGGAGTATAGTGAGAACATTTGGTAGGATTCTTGACAAACATGTTTCCTCTAAATCTTAATCAGAAACAGCCAAACAGTTCCATCTTGTGGAATAGCCTTATAAGGCTATTGGTCTAAACTGCTTTAAAAGAAAAATGCTATGGGAAACTAAAAAGAAGAGTACTTTTTTAAAACCTAAACTTAAACAAAAAAAGTGTCTAATAAGGGAGGCACAAACCAAATGAAATGTGTGCTCCTTGATACCTTGATTAGACCCTGGATGGGGAAGAGGCAGCCATAAAGGACATTGTCAGACAATGGGAGACTGTCATAGATGTGCACAGGTGTGCTGTGATGTGGCTGTCTAGGAGAATGTCCTTGTTCTTAATACATGCATGTAGCATCATGTCTGCAACTTAATCCCTATAAAGGTTTGGAGGAGAGTGGGCGGGGGAGGGAAGAAGACTGTGATGTCAGTCCAGGTGACTAGGGATCCATGACACATTGACTACTTTGAATATGGTGCAGATTTTGTGTTTGGCCTCCATTTCTAGTTCTTGTTCTTCAAAACTTTACTATGGACCAGTGAGGGATCCTACTGAGGGAAAACATTGGGGAGGTGGCATGGGATGGGGAGATAGAACAAATATGAGGGAATGTTAAAATTTGGTCGATCCAGGTGAAGGAGACATCAATATTCATTGAGTTATTCTTTTGAATTTTGTGTAAACACACAGTTCCCAAAATAAAAGTCAGGATGAGGGAAAGAGTGAAATGTGTTGCAGTGAGGCATTCCCAGAGCCAGAGATGGCAGGCACCGGACTCCTGAGTCACAAGGCCTGCCTCCAGTGTCCATTCCAGCAGTACTATGTCCTCCACTTTTAAGTCTCAGATTCCTTATGCTTAAGTAGGAAATGTTAATAGTACTGTCACCTCACAGACCCATGTCAGTTTCTCTTCTCCACTAGTGACATTGGGAACAGGATAAATCTTTCTTGTAGGGGCTGTTTTATATATTGGGGTGTTTAGCAATATCCTTCATTTCTCCCTACCAGATGCCAATAACACTCCCTATCCCTAGTTGTGACAACCTAACAATGTCTTTAGATTTTGCCAAAGGTGCCCTTAGGAGCAAAAGTGTCCCCAATCAGAAATCACTTGCTTAGATAAAACAGTTCCCTTAGAGATCATATTAATGGCTCAGTAAAAACTCTTTTTTTGGACAGGAAGCACTTTACATAATATTTTGAGAGTGTGGACTCTGAAGCTGGGTGCCTGGGTTCAAATCCAGGATATGCAACTTACTAGCTGTGTAACCTCGTACAAGTTATACCACTTCTCTGACTCAAGTTCTTTGTCCAGAAAATTGACATCACCTATAGGGGGCTTATGAAGCTTAAGTTAGTTATCAAGTGTAACTTGTCACATTAAGTACTTGCTAAACAGTAACCATCATTATTTGATATTATGAATTCATTGGCATTGAAATGACCAAGGTTTTTAAAATTTTTTTAACAGATCCCTGAATCAATAGTATAAATACATGGCCACTAGGTAGCAAGGTAATGACGGGGCCCTGTCCTCAGGCTTCAGAGCTCCACCAGGCTCTAATGAGCCACCAGTCTAAATGCTAAAGATCTTCCATCCAAAGGAACAGGGGTCATCTCAGGTAACCAGATCTGAGGACCAAACTTGGCAGGAAAAGAGATGTCCCAGCCCAACTATGCCAGTTAAAGGGGCATGACTCAAACCCCCTTATGACTGTCCAGGTTTTACCAGCCACGTATACCTTCCAAGTCAAGCTCCCTGTGTGTTGATAGACTGGCAGGATGGCATACCATGCCTGTCACTCAGTTGGCCTGCTGGGACTTGTGAGAGTTGGCTGCTGCAGGACCTGCCCACAGGTGGGGCCCTGGCCTGGGGATAGAGACGCTGTTGTCAACTCTGGTACAACCTATAGTCCATGGGCAAGGAGATGAGGACTAGCATTTATGTGCACCTGTTATGCACCTGCAGGGCCATGTACAGGCACTCGACACATGCTATTTAAAGTCACCTCCCTTTCTACTCACCCACACAAAGTCCAGCAAGATGATAGTATTCCCATCTTACAGATAAGAAAACTGAGGCCCAGAAAGGGAAAGTAAATTCCCTAGGGTAAAACTGGTGGACAGCGGCAGAGCTAGTCTTATCCCCAGGAGTATCTGACCTCAAAACCAGTCCTCTCAATTTAATCCAAACTTTCAATTAATCATAATCAAATTCTAAGGTTTTTGAGCTGTATTCAGGTCCTCTCATCCTCTCAAAAATGAGAACTCTGGGCCTCCCCTGTGGCGCTGTGGTTGAGCGCTGGGTTGAGAAGCTGCCCGCAGCCTCTGCAGCACTGGTTCGATCCCCAGCTGCTCCCCGGCCACCGGAGGAGGGTCCCACATGGCGCGCAGACCCCTCCTGCTGCCCGCTGCTCCCCTCA